ATTGCAATGCTCAGTAAAATCTGTTGGGAAAACACAATCCAGTTGAAATGCAACCAATTGGTACAAACAGTTTCACACATTTAAACTAAAATATTGCCTGCTTTTTGTTGTGCTTGTGGCTTTAGATTTCCTAGAAAGAAAATTTAAAAATCTAAAATGCTGAGATTGGATGTAAGGAAATGGAAATCTCTGACTCCCAATCACGGCTTTTTCAGCGTAACAGTGTAGACAGAAATATTCACCCATGTATGTGAAAAGGTGAGTAACAAAGCAAATGCGGGGAAAAAAAAGTACAATTTGATAGGTATTAATTAAGTATTATTTGAAGGGCAAAAACCATAATGGAGGCATAAAAGAAATTAAAGATCTTACACAAAAATTAGGTACACTAAAAAGCGAAAGCACTAAAAATTACTAAGTTATGCTGAAAAATTAATATACAGTAAGCAACTGAAAGATGAAGGAGGATACTGTAAGGCATCTACAAGGTTTAACACTTTTTCAGTGGAATTCATGTCACAAAACATGCTGCAGAAATGCTTTAGACAAGCATAAGGCAGGACACCTAAGTACCTTAAAGACAGGGCATGGCCTGGACGTTTAGGAATTACAGAACTATTCCAGGCTGCTGTGCCTCATTTAAGCAAAGGCTTTAGTGCAGACAGAGGTGTTTAGGAAAAACGACACAAAATTAACCCTAAGTGAAGTGAAGCAATAGGGAACTAGAGTGCATCTATGAGTTTTCAGTAACTGCAGTAGTGGCCAACACTGGTAAGACTCACATCCAGAAAATACATGCTTCTCTGGAGTAGTAAAGCTCTTCTGACATGAAGACAAAATAGCAGAGAAAGGAAAACTGGCTTCTTATAAATAACTTGGAGCTGAGGAAGCCACTCTTTAGAGCAACAATTTATGGACGAACAAGTAGACATGCAATCCACTTGGAGTAAAATAAAAGGGTCAGTTATACCAGAGTGAACTACCAGCAAGCTACTTTTGATATCTGGCAGTTAGAGGCAGTAGCAGAGAGCTCTTTTCAGATCTTACATACCCAATTCTTGGCAAAGAGGTTTGTGTGGGAGGTAGGATAACAGTGGATGATCTTATTAAAACCAAAATATTCATTAAATGGAATACTGTAATTATTTATGTACAGATATATTATGCATGTATTGTACCTCTTCCAAGAAAAAACGTTTCAAAGCCAAGTATACAAACATGAAGTTTCTTTTTATGCAAAGTTGAAGCCTTTAAACTTAATTATCCATCATATCCCTCTGAACCTATCAACTATTAAAAGTATTCATGCTACTGTGAAGACTACAGACCATGAATGTTTTTAGGAGAAACGTAGTGCCACTGGCTTGAGTCTCGTTTCATAGCCTGTGACAGTATAGCAAAGTTTGAAAGAGTTCCTGCTCTTGTTTTCTCACATAAAGAGATTAAAAGCAACCATTGCTTCAATGGTTCAACCAGTGCAACAGCTGCTTTTGAAGTGTTGCTGACAGTGTGAATAAATACTCTAGTATCCAGCTAAAGAAAATTTGCTGAGCTCTGTAGCCTTTGTGATTCTGGGAAAAGTAAAAAAAGCAACTTGTCCTATGTGAACATAATGACTTCCTAAGACTCTCTTCTAGCCTCCTTACACGTTCACTTCATTGAGGTAAGATGAAAGAATATTAGATTAATGTGAATTTGACTATGAAGAATGTCCTTCAGTGATATCCCTATAGATCAATTTGCATGTTTGTGTACATTCTAAGGCACAGCTGGAGCAGAATAAGTTGCCATATATATGTTTACATGAGTGAAATATAAAATACCAAAATTCTCACTGTATGTGACAGTGCAATAATATCATGTACTATACACAAGTTACAGAAAGTGCATCTGTATCTAGGCCAATGAATTGAGAAAGTTAGGATTTGCAAACAGAAATACACTAGAATAATAGAAATAACCTGACACTACTTCAAGCCAACCATGTCACTCAGTTCTTCTGTAGGTTAACTGGTCTAAGCCACCTAAGTAAAGCAGAGAGACCATCCCAGAAGATCCGAGATCAGTTTTTATCCTAGCTAGGAGTGCAAAATGCAATGACTTACAGTGCACAGTGATGGTGGTCGAGTCCATCATGCTTTTGTCAGTCAGAGAGCACTTGTATTCTCCTGTTGCATTTCGTCTCACATCTGTCATTACGTAGGTATCTGAGCTTCTTATACCTTCTGTTTCTCCCTGCAAATGGAAAACAAAATATTTATTGTATATGGGCCTGCTAAGCCCACTAATTTTTGCTGAGGATTTTTTTAATTATAAGGATGGTGAAATACTCCAAAATTTGTAAAGACACAGCATCATTGAAGTGTAATTATACTAAGGTTTACTTCCTGCATGACACCACAGTTTTAAAAAACACCTACAATTAAGAGCTTACTCTTTTAACTGAATGACTAACTTATTCTAAGAGGACATTAAAATAGAAATTTTGAAAGTTTTACAGAAAGAAATAGCCTACAAATAAGATAGTTGCAGAAATCAAAACAGCAAAACAAATCGTGTTTCCACATCTGATTCTAATAGGATATACCCAGTTTAAGAAAAATCGTGAACTAAACTGTACTGCATTACACATTTTTGAATGGCACAAGCAAACCTTGCTTTATCCACATCATGATATAGAGCCTGTTAGGGTATACACTACCTTATATGCAATTATCTACAGACACTGGTGTTTTGAATTAGCCAGCAAGTGTTGCTTTCTGGCTGTCCAGTTCCCTGTGATTACAACGGACTGACTTAAATCAGCTTTCAAACAAGCACAGAACGGTGCTCTAATTCCTGTTTCTGAATCCACAAAGAGATTTGTAATACCCATGAGTCTTGCAAAGGAATCACCACTTCCAGCTCTCCTTGAGGGAAAAGATGAGTATCAGGTAGCAGGAAGACAAGACAAACTTGGATCTTTAGCTCACTCACTGTGATAGCAGAGCAAGGAGAGATACTGTACACTTTTTCCCTGGCATTTAGTGAATTCCTAAGATACCTCACTGAATCTAAATGGATGTTCTGAGATAAGAGGACTTCAGCTCCTAGTTTCTCCTTCTGCTCTTCAGCAATTCAAACATGCCAGGAGTCCAGAGCAGATGACAATTATGTTCAGAGAGTGACATGCTGGTTTTGAAATACCTGAAAGCATGTCACTTCTTTGGGTTTCTCTCAAGATCAGCTCTGCACACTACTGCAGGAGGAAAAAATATAAACCAGAAGCAGGACACGAGAAGCAGAGCCAGGAATCTTAGAATATAAAGCCACATCTGTCTGTGGATATCACCAATACTAAGAAAATTAATGATAACAAAGACTTTATTTTTCTCTATCTGTCTTATGCATTTGACAGATTTGTTCTCTTGTGCTGTCACACGTTCTTTCAGTGTTGTTATGCCACCAAGCAATTAATTAACTGAAGAAAAGAAATTGCACAAGATTCACGTGTATAAGTCCAAAAAACAGCTGAATTAATTTCCTGTACTTTCACTGCTGAATCTTTGTTATGACAACAGACGAGACAGTTTTATTCAAGACGATAAACTTCTGTAATCAACACTGTTTATTAAAATATCTGATGATGGGAAATGAAGCCTTGTAATTTTCAGTAGGTCTAACCCCCTAAAAAATTCAGGTGACCTGGGGGTAAATAGAACTTTTTTCAAAAATATTTTGCCAACTGAGGTGAGGCATTCTCAAAGGCTGATGTAATGGCCCATGTGTATCTCCAGTGTTAGTCACACCAAACTCCTTCCTTCATTTGTTATAAAATCACGTATACACTGACACGTAGCAATGTCTGTAGGAAGAGATGATACAGAATATTTCACTAGGCAGTGACAGCAAGGCAGGACTTACTGGAATGTAAAACAGGAACTCCTGTGGAGGAGGGTTGCCATTTCCTGAGCACTTCAGAGTGATATTATCGCCTTCTTTAATGGTACTACTTTGTGACAGCACTTGAATAGTCACCTTCTCTGTTGGATCTGTGGAAATAATGTACACATTTAATAGCTTCTGCATAATCCACAGAGAAACACTATGCATACAATATTCATGGCTGAAAAGAAGGCAATTTTATCACCCTGCAGGTGAAGATATTCACGTGTGTAGATATGTTTATAGAAGAACTTGAAGTCAATCACACTTTCTATATTTCTGCCATTTAAGTAAGTGCAAAGAAGTCATACGACATAAAATTCATTTTTCTTCACCAAAATACCTGTAACTGAAACAGCAATGATTATAGTCATGTCATGTGCTTAAAAGCAAAAGAAACCCTGATTAGTATGAACCATTTCATGGTGTGATTTCATTATGAGGGATTAACTTCTCCTCTGTGAAGTTCCGTGTTTGGAGGACTGCAGCAATCAAAAAAACAACTGAAGCTCTCAATGCCTTGTATTAGTACTAGATAATAGCCTCTGGCATTAAAAAGAAAGAAATATGAACTAAGTGACTATGTTCAGCCTATTCTATATGCTGATCACTACAGGCTTTCAGAAAGATGAATCTGGTGAACATAATAGGACCCTTAACATAGTCAACAGAACAGTAAATGTAACATACTTCTGTCATGTTCACTGAAGTTGAACTATAACTTACATTTTACTTTTGCAATTTTTTTAAGGCGAAGACGGAGTATTCTTTAGCAGATGCTATTCTTTCTAAGTAGAAGCCTAAATATAATTTTTCAGAGCCAAAGTAAAATGAATAAAATGTAAAAAAAAAAATAATATGAGCAGATAACTCTCACTGTTTTAATTCTGAAGTATAAATAAAATGCCATCAAAGATGCCAGCCTTGCGTTAAGAAACAGTACAGTGCACCTTATTAGATGGTAAAAAAATCTACACAGTAGAGAAACCCTTGCCTGACAGGTGATTTTGTGTGTTTACTGAAGTGTGTGCTCTACAGCCCTTCCGACCCTTAAGGCATTTATCATGTCTGTCTTCTGCTACGGGATTTCTCAATAACAGGAGCTGCATCCTACTGTGGCCTCTTGATGACTGAGAGCCCTAGCACAGCACAGCATCTCATTCCTCCCCATGGGAGGAGGGGTACTGGGCTTCAGCAAACCACATCCTCCCTCCTTCATATGCAACAGCCTGGGCTCCCTTCCATGTCCAAACAAGCTTCCAGCTCAGTACCTTCAGAGCTTAAGCACAACTTTGCCTGCTTAGAAAAGGAAAGTCCAACATGACTGCTGGTATGGAACACAACCTATGCAATGCAATAGCTGGCCAGGAATCACATGCATGCCTCTTGGTAGCTGCTGGGCCAAAGAACTCAGTGTCAGGGGCTGCTGCAAAAACCTGTTTCTCCTTCTGTCAAGTTTATGTGAAGGTGATCAAATATGAAAAAGTTATCATAAAGGATGTCTAGATGTATCCTGGAATTTCTTAGGCTTTGTCTCAAGACTGAAAAGAGAGGAATTATAATGACTAAGACTTTAGGACGTCAGTTTGAAACATGTTTTCCCACAGAGATGAACTGAACTGGATTAAAAATGGACACAGTTAAACAAGAGTGACATTCTTGCAAACCATCAGTCTTTTCTGTAGGAATATATTGCCTTTCTATCTATTGCAATCAATCAGGATCAAATTTTCAATTTAATTCTCTAAACCAGAAAACCCCATCTATATAGGTAAACAGCAAAACTAAACTGTTCTCTTAGGTGAAGAGGTCCCTATTCTGAGGAAGATGCAACCTGATGACAGGAAGATAGTGTTCAGTGCAATGCTGAGTACTGATAAGCACGAGTAATGTGCTCCTCTGCCATCACTAATAAACAGGAGCATCCTGGTGAAAGAGTATCTTGACTCTCAGTGGCACATATCCCTGGATTGGCCCATCTTACCTGGTGCTTTTGCAAACCTGAGATTCTGCTTTCTACAACAGCAAAATTCTAAGAGCCAGTGCCAAAAGGAAGCTATTTGGTAAATGAGTGCTGCTATCCCAGACCTGCCAGAGCCATTGCACAATTTCATGGAAAACACCAATGCTGGAAGCACTGTCTTTGACTCTAATCTGTAATGTAAAGCATTTACCCATAACACAAGACAGACACTTAGCAACAGGGCATGACTGGAAAGTCTGTCTGACAAACATTATCTCTTTACACTGATTAATGCTGAACAGGACCCAACATAACTGGAGCCTAGATAATTAGATATCTGAGATAATATCTAACTGTCCAGCTCCAAGACTTCTCTTGTAGTACTCATGGTACTTCTGCAAACCAGAGCTTGTAACTTCTGCTAGGATGAGCTAAGTTATCCTACTCCAAGTAGTATCCAACTCAGCAGGAGCTAATTCACTCCTCCTCACACCATGTTACAGTGGCTGGCAGCTTTCCAGTATGTCAGCTAGCTCTTAAACACCAAAGTACTAACGACTACACTAACCCAAAGCTAAAGATAAAATAAAATCCCAAAGCGAATAGGAAAACATTTCTTAAATCCTGACTGAATACTTATAAATTGGAATGGGCTGCCCAGGGAGGTGGTGGAGTCACCATCTCTGGAGGTGCTTAAGGAAAGACTGGCTATGGCACTTAGTGCCATGGTATAGCTGACATGGTGGTGTTAGTTCATAGGTTGATCTCAAGGATCTCAGAGGTCTCTTCTAGCCTTAATGATTCTGTGATCTTTAAGAAAATATTGTGTACGCACAGTTTTAAACATGTTCTCCCCATTTCTTTAGGATAAATAGGTAAGTTGCAAGGAATGAACAGCAGGTCTTTATGATTTTGTTCTACTTGCTCTGGAGATGCAAAATACGATAGTTTTGACAGTCAATCTAAAAATAAAAAGAAGGCTGAAAGATTTCCATTTCTTAAGAGTTGGAGTCTGCCATTTTCTTATCTGCATATTTGACTCATTAAAAAATTGAATTTATTGAGCAAGAAACTAATTAAGATCACTGAACTAAATTTAAAGAAGACAAAACCAAATCCAACATGTTATTATCATCAACTAACATCAGTCACAAAATTAATCAGTTGAAGTTTAGACATCTATTAACAAAGAATTTCACAAATTCATTTGGAGATGCATTTAAGCAGAATAAGGAATTGAAGTTGCAGCAGCTGAAAATACTCAGAAGACAAATTGGGTAACCCATACTCTAAAGCCAACGTTCATACTCGAGGCCTCTTTAGTACTGAAGTATGTGCCTGCCTCCTACTACTTGCTAATTAGCAGTACACTAGAAGAACTATCTTAATTAAATTGTGTGTTACTAAACCAGGAATAAAAGGGCTAGTCTAGCAAACAACAAATCTTTAATACAGAAGGCATATCATACATGGCCAGTAACTATCCTGCAGTTGTGGACCTTCTTTTTCCTTCACATTGAGTAGTTCTTACAAGTGCACCTAGCACATGCATCACAGAAATCTGCAACAGCCTCAGCCTGAAGAGGTGAAGTAGACTAGTGCATGAAACTGATGGGAAAATGAGGATAAGCACAGCATCTCTCGGCAAGTAATAGCAACAAATGTTTTCTGGTGATTACATTTCTTTTCTGTGAACATCTGCCACACACAGCAGGAGTTATTCATGATCATAAGGCTCCACAGATGACAGAAAAAAACCCCAGTGAAATTTAGTACCTAACTTTAAAGTAACACCAAAAAAATAAGAAATGCCTCTAGCTTTAAAGCAATGGGATAGGCATCTGCAGGCTTGAAATGTCTGTGGTATTTCCACAGATAACAGGTGCTGTCCCAGTGGTTTTCTTCTCCATTAGTTCTGGTTGTTATCAACTCCATTTTCTCCAGATGAAACCAAAGAGCAGGTGCTCCAAGGTTTGGTATTATTTGACCAAGGTCAAAACTGATCCCCTACCTTGCAGCTCAACAACCTTTACCAGTAAAGGAGAAGCAACTATAATCTAGGTAGAACACAGCATGCCACTTCAAGCCTGTGGCTTTTGTTTTCAAAGCAATGGAGCGCACATGCCAGCTGGAGAAATCCAGTGCCTTACTTATTTTCTTTGTGTTCGACTGGAATACAGAGTTGCTATACAACATATACTAAGACCCTACTAGATGTTGGACTCTATGTTTAGACTCTATTAATCCCAAAACAGGTACTTCTCTTTTATAATGTTGGACTCTATGCTTAGACTCTATCAATCCCAAAACAGGTACTTCTCTTTTATAAGATGAGGTATTACTTGAAGTGTGCAGGCAGGTAACACTTGACTGGACATATAGTGTATCCCTTGTTCCTCTACATCCTGCTATGACCTGCTGCCTTCTACAGCCTTTCAGAAGTGACACTTTACAAGACTCTGAAATGCCTCTTCCCCTGGTCTCTAAGTGCTGCCACTCCTTCTGACCTTTCCCTGCCAACTGCATGTTTTGTTTATTCAAAGGAGTATTACGATTTCCACATTGGCCAGTAACACAGTAAGGAAGTTACTTTAGCACCCAGGTCACTTGAAAGAAATTATTTACACAAAGGTTCCACTTAAAAGTCTACCAATATTCAAATGACGCACTTTAAATGTAAGAATCAGCATCTTACATCTGTAGAGAAGCTACTGCATTTTGTGCAAGGTAGACAAACAGCACTAGCTGCTTGGTGCTGACTCTGCAAAGATGAAAAACATTTGAGTATACTAAAAAGTGTATTGTGTATTTACTGCATATTTCAGGGGGCAGAGAGAGTCACTCTAATCAACCACTGTAACTTCTCTTTAAGTTCTGAAAATCCCATTTCACTATAACTTTTTATGGTTATCACTTTCCTCTTGTCAATGAATGATATTCATGAGTACTCAACTGTTAGGAAAAGAGAAATCTCAGGTAAATCTGAAGAAAAAAATTACACTGACAATGTACTCAGACCTTCTCGATGCAAATCAAGTTTGAAGAAACCATTTCAATTGCCAAGCAGCAACGTCTCCGTAATTTTGTGAACTGTTTCTGATTTTGCTTTCCCACCCCTGAGGTAGACTTTGTACAGCAAGAGATGTTTTTTAATAACTTACAGTGAACATCGAAGACAACTGGTTCAGACTGTATTGTTTTCTGGCCAGATGGTCCATAATAAGTCACAATGCAAGAAAACATGGCATTTGCATCTTCCTTTGTTGGCATATACTCAAGAGATGATGTCGTGGTGAAGAGTCCAGTTGATTCATCCACATCTTTTTGCAAATTTATGACCACAACTGAAAAGGAAATAATGTTTCAGTGTCACACAGACAGAATTTGTAACTTTTTTCCTGAATTTTATTGCCTGTTCTATATTCGTGATCAGGCTGCAAACATGCAAGCAATGTGACACCATCACCCAAGAGACTGTACAAAGTTTTCCTCTAGAACTGCCCCTGAGGTATGTTTTGCCCCAGGAAATGTTTTATTAACCAAATACTCCTAACATACTGAACATTTTAAATCAAATCCAAACAAAAAACTAATTGCAAACTGGTAGGTTTTATAACACAAATCTCAGCTTAATTTGTAAGACAGAAAGAAGACCTCAAAAATGATGGCAAAAAATTTAGGATCATATTTATATCTTAATTTTTTAAGCATTCTCTATTTCTCTAATTTATAGAAGGTTAAATATTGTAGCCTGATCAGACTATCAAAATCAAAGTTGAAAAGAATAAAAAAAAAAGTTGCTCTTCAATATCCTGGAAAATAAATACCTGCACAAGATGATAAGCTACATGGTCCAAAACACAGTATTGAACAACATGAAGCTAAACAGTTAATACCTCATAAAGTGTTGGAAATTAGATACAGATTTCTGATAATAAAATAGGCTCAAGAATAGCTTTGCAATTACATTAACAAAGGCAACCCTCCTCTCCATGATGTGGGTTTAAAACTGGAACTGAAAGAAAGAGATTATATGGCACAGCTTGGGTACTCTGAAAGGCCTGAAAGTTTCCTTCCAGTTACATCTTTCCGTATGAGCAGTTTTTCTCAAAGGAAGAATACATTAGAATAAAGCAGAGTGACTCTTATAAACACAGCTCTTCATCCATACACCCATCTGTGGATTCATAGACATTGGCCATTACCAATACATACCATCTTCCACAGGCTGTAAAATCCTCCCATTTTTGTACCACGTAACATTGCCTTCGGGATAACTATCTCTCGCAACGCACTCCCCAAGCTGCAAAACAGATAAGAATTAATCGCTGGTTTTCTCTGTTAGGTGTTAACATAATTCCACGTTTACTTATGCTGCTTTGGGTAAAAATTTCTAGAAAGTCCAAAGGCTTAACCTCAACCATTTTTCTCAAATAGGACGAACCCAATCAGTGAGGCTTAGGCACAATTTGGAAGAGGGTGGTGGGTCTAAGATCAGGATGGTCCCTATTTGCAGAATCAGGCAGGGTTAAAAATATTAGTGGCAAGGGAACTGCTCTGTCCTCAACCTGGCTACAGACCATGATCTCTCACAGAGGCAGGTGTGCACATATGCACACACACCATCTCTGAGCCATCACCTCTCTCTGGACTGTAAAGGGACTTCAGGCAGCCATCAGGAAAATAACTTTGAGGGAGAATGCTGCTCTTACCATTTGTAGCTTCTCTGTTTCTAAGAAGTTTGCTTGATGTAAGATTTCTGGTTGAGAGGGTTGTTCTAAAACATAAATAGGATAGAAGTACTAGTGAAGGGAGCACAAACAGCTGTTTGAAAAACAAAAAAATTACTAAAAAACACATGGACTTTGAGACTAAACAGAATAATCTGTCCTGATACAGTCTGAGCTATGTAAGAAAAAGTAAGACCTCAATATTAGCAAGTGGACTGAAATGAAGAAACTATCACCCTAAAATGTGTCATGCCTTCCATAATGAATTCCAGACAATATGTATTTTAGCAAAGCAGAGTACTTCAGCACGCAGGAGGAGAGAACCTGATCTGATCTATCGATTTGCATGACACAAATGCTGGAGAAGGAGCCAGTGGTACAGAAACTATAGCAACAGAGAAGCAGCTTTCCTGCAGATATTACTGTAGCTGAGCTGTCACATTATAAAGGAACAAATTCAACCTAATAATTCTTCTAAGGTTTATTTTTGCTGAGATTGTTACATTTAGGTGATAGAGAGAAGTGTAATTATTTTAACTGATTCTGATTTAGTTATGACTCTCTTAAAAAAGCCCCATACTTTTTCTTGTATGCCATTCTTTCTTATTTACTTTTATTATGGTAGATGGACCTCCTAGCTTGCCAAAGTGGAGGATCTATCAGCATTTCCATCATAAAAGACTACTTTCTAGAGTCTACATAACTTGTCTGTTAAAATAGTTTGGCCTGAAGCCCGGAATGCAAATTTTTATCTCCAAAACTGACAGTTTTCCCCACAATTTTAAAAGAAGAGAGGAAGAGTGAAGGGAAAAAAATAAATCAATGTTTATACAGTTGAAGAAAGCCTCTACACCCTAGCTATACTGCTTAAATACACATACATATTTTTATAGACTGAAACATTCTTACCCATGTCAGCTTACAGAACCTTTTTTCCAAATCAAGTTTCCAATGAAATACTGCATGTATGTCCGTAACCCCAGCCCAAAGTGAACTTCACCACTATCTTGCCAAGATCTCTACACACACTGATGAAGTTACTCGTGTGCATGTGTACAGCTCATGCTGTCACAGAGACAGTAAGCCTATGTATTTTCAAATAATACATTTTCTTTGTGTGTTTGCCTGTATGTTCATGTGCACACAAATGCAGAGATATTCTCCACTTGAATGACTACACCAGGACAGAACAAAAATGACTCAAAACGGAAATGAAAGGTAATAAAATAAGCTATTCATCTGACATTTTCAAACAACTTTGCTTGTGGCAAAAAGCAAAACCAAACAAAAGAAACAGTCAAAACTATACACTAAACCTATCATATTTTCTTCAAAGGCCTAATAAAGATTTTATTTTTTTAAGAGATGTATTCATGTGTATTTCTCCTTTGCTAGTTTTAAAGGAAAAAGCTTAATCTATTTTCTATAAGAACCTGTCAAGGACAAAACATTTTCATGTCGATTCAAGCAAATGCAGTTTTACAAGATCACTAACAGGTATTCTGGTTCAGATTTTTAGGTCCCATAAGCAGGCATAGTTGGGTCTCTGTCACAGTCACCAGTGGATCAAGCCATGACACCTTCCACCATCCCAGCTTCGCTTCCTTTCACCTCTCATCTCCCCCAGAACTAGTTTGAGAAGACCCCCTTTTGGGGCTTTGGACCTCCCTGCTTTGCAATGATCCTACTAAGCGAAAGGGAGGATCTCCTGCTCATGGCCTGCGTGGGGCTCGCCCTATTTTTGAGTGCTCTGGTAACCAAGCAGGTGCTTCAGTTGAGAGGCAGCCACCTGTTCTCTCAGAGCAGCCTCCCAGAGGAAATGCCAGACCCTCACAGCTGCTGCACGTGCACCAAGGTAATTCACTAGAAAAGACTTACTTGGCATTTACTAGCTCAGTGTCTGAAGCGAGAAGGAATTTTAAACTTGGCAGCAGCAGAGCCCACTTTGTTGGGTTTGCAACTTCAGCACACTGCTTATCTCTCGGCTTAAGAGCTTGCCAGAGTACTTTGCAACTCTATATAGGCCTTAGAATAGAGAGAGAAAGAGTTCACTGCCTGCAAAAGCCAAGCGTCGGTGCAGCAGGACAGCAGCTCATGTCCACTGGGCTGCTCTGCTTTGGAAACTGGCCATTTAATTCCAGAAAAAATATGCTGACAGGATCCATCTGGAAAGCTGGTAGTGCTTGTTTGAGTAGTCCAGTAAGCGAGACTAGCAGGTGGTACTTGTGCAATGAGCCATTTCAGCTCGTTAGTTCTGAGTTAATCAGGTGGCACAGCTGAGGACATAACAAGCTCCAGCAAAACGCAGCTGAAGTCGTGACTTCTGGGATACAGCTGAGTTTCAAGTGCACAAGATCAGGGTTTATGAGGGTCACACTGCCACAGCCTAGCTCTGTATCTGTGGTTCAATGAGTTACAAACTCCACTGGTTAAACAAATGAAGCTTGCTGGCTACTCTTAACTCTTTTACAAGTAATGCAAGCAAGCGAGCAACAAAAAAATGAACACTTGAAAATCAGACTGAAGGAAATGAAATGCAAAGAAAAGTTAAGAGAACCCTTAATAAAGTTGTGAACTCAAAGTAAAAAAATGCAAAGATAATTTTTCTTTCAGGGCTAAGTTGTCCATATGACATGTGTGGCATCCTCACTTCTTATCTTCCTTAGTAAACAGAAGTTTTCTCTATTAGTATTAATGCATACAATAAACCAGACAAGCTGTGCTCCATGGCTGAGCTAGCATTGTGTTAATATTTAGTACAGTACACAGTAATTCAAGCAGTTAGCATTTCATTTCACCATATACCACTGTCTCATCTACATATTTACTACTGTGCAATAAGTAAACATGATAATTCTTTATCATTTCCTTTGAAGCACTGTGTTTACTATATGTGCTCTGAGCACACTCCTCCCTGTTGTCATTAATTCGATTGTTCTTGCAGTCAAATTGAAAGTAAAATGAGGGAAAGGAATTACTGTTGGCTCCTAATCTAACTTCAAACTCATTTATGCCACTGACAGACTTCTGCCTAGATACCATTGATGACTCCCTGACATCTCCTCCTCCAGAGAAGCACAAGGCTGCCCTTACTGAATTCATGTTTTTAAAGCAGTGTGATGGCTTTGAAACTGCCCATTCCTGCAGTCAGTGTGTTCCCACAGCAGAGACTGACTGTGTAAATCTGCATCTGAAGAGCAACAAAGGCCAAAGAAAAAGCCATCTAAAAACATGAACCTAAGGAAGATAGACACTGCGGTCACAGACAAGTGTCCCTAAAAAGGCATAACAGATGCCTCCACAGGCTGAGTCAGGGTTTGAGGGATTACATTTCTGCTCTGAATCAGCACCAGCAAGAGGCCAGGCTTGTACACACTCCCGTGTGAGCTCTGAGCAAGGCTGTGACTGACAGCACCAATCAGCCTTTCAATCAGGCTATAGTGATACCAAATGCCAACAAACTTTGCCGTGCCCTAAGCCAGAACTGCAGACAGGTATTCCTCCTGGGAGTTCAGC